CATGAATAATTCTCACCCTAGTGCCATGCTAGGCTGAGGCTTTGGTTCCCCAGCCTGACTGACTATATGGAGAGCACGGCACAGGCCCAAAGCATGACCTAGGGTCTGTGGATAGACCAGGACCTGAGTTAGCTAAAGCTGCCCCCAAAGATAGCAATACACGTCAAGGATGAGAAAGAGCTATCATCTGAGAGCCAGTTCTCCAGCAGTGGTGTACTTTGTCAATATAAGTTCACCAGTGTGTTTCAAGAAGAGAAATAGTTCCTTTCTTTTCTGTAAAAGTTTGCAGTACTTTTGTGTATTTTTCTTGGCTTCTTTATTTTCATTTATTGAAAGTGTTTGAACACCTAGAGGAAGAGAATAATCAGAAGAAGAGGAAAAGACAAAGTCAGAAGAACTAGAAATGTCTCCACCTCTGGAGACTGGCAGCCCTCACAACTCTTGGCATGTGCTTGTCTGAAGGCCTAGGAGAGGAAGGAGTACATGGGGACCCTAAAGTGTGACAGAGGCACCCTTCCAGCTAGGTGCCCTTATAGAAACTCATTGAAATGCTTCTGACAGTACACTACAAACCATAGGGACTGGGGCATAATCTCATTATCACCAAATTCTGAATCATCTTTAATATTGTATAGAGTTCTTCTTTGATCCAAAGTATTTAAACAAATGTTTTTAAGTATTCCAAAAGTTCATTATAAAAGATACCCTTTGGTTATTGCTGATACCATAGTTTGGTTGTAGAATGGCCCCCAAATTCCAACAATGAAGAAATTTCCCCATCTGTGCCAGTATTGGGAGGTGGCAGGGTTTTTAGGAAGTGTGCCCAGTGGGAGGAAACTATGTCACTGGAGGCATACCTTTGAAGGAGATACTAGGACTCAGGTCTCCTCCCTCTCCCTCTCCCTCTGCTTTCCAGTAACTAGGAAGTGAGCATTTCTCCACCAGCTCCATGCCTCACCATTGGACCAAAAGCTATGGGGCCAAACAACCATGGACTCAAATCTTTCAAACTGTGAGCTGAAATAAGCCTTTCCTCTTATGAACTTGATTTATCTCAAGTGTTTGATACAGTAACCGAAAGTTAACACAGGTGACTTGTGGTCAAACAAATACAATGAGAATGGGTCTAGTTTTTAAGTATGTGCTGAGATTTCTTTATGGCTCTGTGCATGCACAGTTACAAAACAGGCCCATTGCTTTATGAGTAACCCAAGCACTGCTCCAGGCATTTTGCAAGTATCACTTCATGTAATCCTTTTTAACTAAATATAATTGGGGTTTTCATTTTGTTGTTGTTGTTTATTGCTTGGTTGGTTGGCTAGTTGGTGAGTTGGTGAGTTGGTCGGTTTTCTGAGTCAAGGTCATGCTATGTATTTTGGGCAAGACTACAGTACTCTTTGTAGCCCAGGCTGGTCGCAAACTTGTAGTTATCCTCATGTCTCAGCACCTTGAGTGTTGGTATTACAGGCATGCATATGTCCTATGGATATTAGAAAACAGTATTAATTCTTGGAAATGTAAAGAAGAAATATTCCATGATATTTATCTCATCTCACTCCCACGTGCCCTTATTGCCTTACCTGAAATGTGCAGTAATAACAGACACTACGTACAGTGTAGAGGAAGGTTATAGCTCATAATGCACTGAAAGTTCTCAGAGTAGTCCTTGACCCATTGTACTACTCAGATTTTAGATCTCCATCTTTGTTATTAATAATACTTGAATTAGATGAAAATTGGGCAAAAGCTTTTTACGCTGTGATTTATTCACCTTTATTTTTATACTTTTTTATTTCTGTTATTTAATATTACCACTGAGGCCAAAACCAACCTCAGAGGCTTTACACCCATCATGAAGGAATCAAATAACAAATGCTGGCTAGCCTGTGGGAAAGAAGAAATGTTTCTACACTGTTCATAGGAATATAAATAGTACAACTATGAATATTAGTACAGAGATTTCTCAAAAAACAAAAACCAGAAATTTCACTTGACTCAGTTAATCCCATTCTAGATATCTTCCCAAAAGAACTGAAGACATTCATACTAAGTGATACAAGCATAGCAATGTTTATAGCAGCACAACTGATCATAGCTAAATCTTGGAAGCAATCCCTATGTCCTTCAGCAGTTGAGTGGATAAATAAAACATGATATTTATACACAATGGAGTACTACTCTGCATTAAGAAATGATAAAAGAATCATTTATATGAAAATGGCTGCACCTTGAAACCATAATGTTATTTAAACTAAATGAGACATACAAGATTAAATAGCACAAGGTTTCTCTTTTATGTAAAACCCAAATAATATGTAAAGAACAAAATTAAAGACAAAGAATAGGAAGTAGGGATGGATCTTTTTTAATGAGAAAAGGACCAAGAGATGGAGGAAAAGGGTGGTGAGAAGGGGTGAGGAAAAGGAATTAAGATGCATCATGTACGTGCACCAACTCCACAAAAGAAGTATAATCATTATGTACTGCAAATATGCACTAATAAAAATTAAAAGTATAAAATGAAAATTGTCAGAATAAAAGCACAGTCACTTATTTTAACCCTGACAAAAATGAATAAAGCTAGAAGGTTATGAAAGAAAGGTCTTGCACACCTTGCCTGAGAATAACAATCAAATATTCTGGACCACAGTCATGTACTGAAATCACTATAAGGTGGTCCTCCCAACAACTGTGCGTCCAAGCTCAGACTGACATCACATTTATTAAGCCTTGTAGCCAAGGGTTATGGTTTCAAAATACCTGAATCAATCTTCCTCATTTTTAACTTTAAAAACTTCATGCGTCAACTTCTCTAAATACACGCATAGATTACTAAGACACATGTGGTCTCATTATAATGCTCTGTTCTTCCCACTTGCACATGATTGTCATTTGGAGAATTTGTCTCTGGTGGTCATTTTGGTTTACAGTAGATGTTAATGTGAATTATGGACTTTGATTATGATGTGTTGGTGTGGGCTCATCAATCATCTTCCTCATCTGGTGGACAATGTGGACAAGATGGGGGGCAGGGAGCATTGGGAACTACAAGTCCTTTCTGCTCAATCTTGTTTTGAACCAAAAATGCTTTAAAATAAATGCCATCTTTAAAATATGACAGAGGAATCAATAAGAATTTAATCTAAGAAGCAAAAACGAATGCAGAAAAAGTGAAGAGCAGGGAGGATTTGATGGAGGTAATGATTACTCCGGGGCTTGCTTGTCCTCTTCATTGTCTCATTTCACTCCAGAGAAGAGCAAATTAAAACCACAGTGAGATACCATTACACACCCTTTATAACCGATAACATGAGGAAGTTTAACAATACCTACTGTTGGCAAGGAAGTGAAGAAATTGAAGAAAGCATATTGTTGGTAGGGTGAAAGCTGGTGGATCCACTTAAGAGTGAGATATGGCAACTTCTTATAAAACTGTATATGCACCTAATCAATCACCCAGAATGTGTACAACTAAGATAAATCAAAATATTTGTCTAAGATAAAGTCTTGAATGAAAAAGCTTGGGTTACCTTTATTTATAATACTCAAAAAAAATGAAATTAGCTTAGTTGCCTTGTGGTGTACATATCAGATTCAAAGAATAGACATAAGAGTTTGATGTGTGTAAATCATACACAATAAAAATTTTGATGTGTATAAATCACATCCAAAGAAAAAGCTATGAGAAAATATTGTATTCCAGTTACCACATACTGAAGCTTAGTGTAGTTTGAAAGATGTCTATCTTAGACTGCAAGGACAACATACCCAATATTCATAGATTAAAAGAGGAAAAGTTTATCTTAGTTCATAGTCTATAGAGGTTTCTGTCCATACTCAGCTGGTTCCAAGGAAGGGCAGCATGGCAGAGGGGTATAGCAGAGAAAAGCAGTCTATGGCCTGCCAGCAGCACCCTCCCTTTTTCTATTTTCTTTCTTTATCCATGCAGGCTACAAGCTATCGGTGGTTGCCACTCTGGAACTATGCTAAACCAATCAGTATAGTAATCCACTGTCACACACCCATGATCCAGTCACTACCAAAGCCCCACTTATGAGCAAATGAGGTTGGGGGAACGTGTAGATACAAGTCATAACAACCTCAAACATTAAATCATCGATAAAAAGATAGATAAATGGATAGACATGCTATGGAAAGTATAAGTAGATGTTACCAGAGAAAGAGGCCTGACATTTCCATGCAGGTACAGGACAATCAACGTGGGGAATGAGAAGAGGCAAGAGTGGGTGAGGTCTGCAGCACAACCAGGAAGAAGGTAGGGGTCTTAGCCAGAGGTGAAAGCAGACAAAAAGGCAAAGTTCCAAACAGACTTGCTATTACAATCCCTTGTAGACTCTGAGATTTTAACTAAACTCATTCATCCTGATCACAAGCTTCGTAGCCCTTTCCAAGTCCTGACATCATGGCTCAGCCCTAGACTCCATAGAGATCTATATGACATGGATGTTCCCGTGGACTACTTAACTCCAAGCAACTCAAGGGAGGCAGATATTAAAGCATTCCTACCCCAACATTTATATCTATTCCCCACATAACAATAGGAAGATCTATGTTCCTCCAGGGCACAAAAGTGTTCCAATATGCAACAGGGATTTGTTGATCAAGACCAGGAGAGTTGTGACAGAGTTTCAGGTGCTGTCATCTTCTACAAAAGGACAAGCACTGCCCACAAATGAAGGAAAGGTTATCACAAATACTTTATCAGTGAATAACCCTCCCACACATAAGAAAAACTGCAAGAGGTTGGAAAGGAAATGTACAAAGAGTATACCAGACAGGAGTCTAAGGTGAGTCAGAGAAATAGACACAGAATAGAAGAAAGGTTATGGTGGAGCCTGTTAAAGCTGTCTGGGAGGGACTAAGAATCAGTAGGTCAGTTAACAATATGTTTAACACAATCCATTTTTAAAATGAGGGAAAGACAGATGGCAGGCTCTCAGTTTAGTCCCATCCTCCAGACATGCTCATGGTCCCCATGGTCAGCGCAGGATGCTGAGGTACTGGGCCAAGAATGGCTGCCATCTTCCAACCAAACCTAATTTTAAACATCCATGTTTCAAAGATCCACACCTGAGTATAATGAAAGACATGAGCTGTGATTATCACGGATTACTCTGAACCACAGGAGTACTGAGCTTCTGGAAACCACTGTGGAACACAGTTACAAACAGACAAGGATTGAATGAAATAGATCAGGTAACAATGAGAATTTTTCTCAGCTGGAGCCTCCCAAACCCACCCCAGGCATCTCCTGGAATTTATCATCAACCAGGTGTTGGGAAGAACACTGGACAATTACAAAAAGAACCCAAAGGAAAAACAAAGACCTTCCCAACACCACACTAGCCAATGAGAAGACTGAGTTTAAGGTGCATTCTTGAGGAAGAGGAGGCAGCAGAAATCCCCAGACCAGAGATGGCAATAAAGGAAACACACAGAGAAACAACTGTCAGGTCTTTTAAATGCAAGCCCTAACATAAGCAGAGCTCTCCTTGTAGAAGCAGTAGAACAAGAAGAGTGAGCTGAACCCCAACATGCATAGGTGCACACCTGCAAGACTCAGCAGTGACCTCACCTGTCTCCTCCTCACAGTTTTCCTCAGGCTCTTCAGCATCATCATAATCCTCCTCCAGCATGAGATTCCCAGACACTGAGGGCCTCTCTTCTTTATTCTCCATAGGAATTGCTTCAATGTCTTCATAGACACACTCTGAGGACAGGTGCTCTGACATTCCAGAACCTGTAAAGGCCAAATGAGAATCTTAAGGAGCACCCACCATATCCTGAAGCCCGTCATGCACACTGAGAGCCCTGGCTCCCCTGGATCAGCCCACTGGGAGCAGTTACCCTCAGTGGAGCTAAGCACTCACACAATATAGACCACCCCTGAGAACCCCAAATGTGAATAACAGCACAATGTTCTATTTCCAAGACCCTTTGTGGCCCAGAAGCAACTCATCTAAGAAACATAGTACCACCTGAGTCCAGGATGTGCAGGTCCTCAACATCTCATCGATACAGAGAGACAATGAGCAGTGGCTGATAGGGTGACCAGAACAAGGGGGCCCACCAACCCTCTTGAGAATCTGCTGGCCATGCCCAGCCATTTCCACGTACCCATGTAGGCAGCTCTGTTGCGGCTCCACTTAACACCCAGGACCAGGAAGATGAGGCCCAGTAGGCAACCAAGAACCAGGCAGGCAATCTCCGGCAGAGTCCAGACTTCAGAAACAGATTCAGAGGCCAGGAAAGGGGCTATTTGGAAATAGAGAAAGAGAGGGCCTCCTGTGTGCCTGGCCTACCTAGGGCACTGTGACTCTGGGCCTAGATAACCTCAACCTTTGAAGAAGAGGATGCAGCATAAAGGAGAGGTAGGCCTCCTTGCTACCCACCCAGGCTGATGCTTTCCCAGATATGGGCTAACTTTATAAGGAATAGCAGCCCAAACACCAAGCCCAGGTGGGTGGGACCAAGTGGAAGGCCCAGGTGGAAATTCCATGTAGGCTTCTTAATCCAAGTAGGATTAAGGTAGGAGGACCTAGACTGATGGCCCAGTGTGTGCCCAGAAACACTTCTAATGGCTCTCACTATCCCTGTCCTCAGATCCACCTTGGAAAAAAGCCACAATGTTCAAGAAGCCACAGGGCACTAGAACCAAACCTCAGTCACAGAAGGAAATCCCCTGAGAGATGACTGTCCTCAGCCCAGGACCTCTATCCCCACACTGGATTTCCCACTCAGATGGACAGAGAGGAGAGCAATTGGCATCAATTTGTGTACATCACCATGGTCCTGGAAACACCTGCGAAGAGTGACTGGCACATGGTACAGGGCCGATACGAGCTGAGAAACTCTGCAGCCCCCCTGAGCAATGAGAGACAGGAGGACGGTGAGTGTGAGATGGAGCCACCTACCTGATACTGAAACACAAGCAGGAGAATGTAGACCTGAGAACCCCGAAGGGGAGGTGGGGATGGTAACCTATAGCTTTCACCTTCCCACAACTAGTGGAATGTCCCATCCCACGTGGCTGAAGCTTAGCATGACAGGGATGCGAGAAAACTATGCTTGAAGCAGCAGGTGGAACCTCATGCAAGGCCCAGTGTAGGGGACATGGTTCAGCAGAAAGCACCAGACACATAGAGACACTGTCCCTGTGCCCCACTCCCCTCCTACTCACCGGAGCAGTGCACCCCTGCATCCTCCTTGTGTTCACAGTCTCCTTGTCCCAGTGGCTCTGTGTGACAGCCCAACAGGAAAGCCTCACTTCCACGGCACCTCACCTCATCCAGCCACACAGGTCCTGACCCGGGACCAAAGGCAGCCCCCTGCGTGGCATCCATGGCCTGGCCACAGCCCAGCTGGCGACACACAACCTCTGCATCTGCCAGGTCCCAGGAGTCATCACACACAGTGCCCCAGGAGCCTGCATGCCAGAGCTCCACACGCCCAGAGCAGTTGTCATCGCCTCCTTGGAGGCGCAGTGTGCCCTCCTCTAGGAAAGAGGAAAGTGCTTATTCTGGGAACCCCACTGAGTTGGGCAAGTAGACCAGGACATACAAAGAAGGGTACCTGGGCAGCTGGTGGGTGTGCAGCTAAGGGTCTGCTCAGGATCCTCAGGAATTTGGGCCTTTTCTGCATGGGAAAATAGGTTCTATCTCAGTATTTGCAAGCTCAGCAGCTTCACGTTCCATGGATTTTTTTTTCTTCCCTTTGTCTTTGTGTCTCCATAACAAGCTACTCCTGGAGGAACAGAACTGTTTGTGTTCAAGGGAGGGTAAGCACACAGGCTGAGGGATCCACACACAGGTTCCCTGTTGATGTCCTCAGAAGATGCCCAGGAGCACAGTTGTCCTAATTCCCCAACCCAGGAAGAACCAGAGACTGAGAACTCCAAATGTCCTATACCCAGCTTTGAGCCTCATGCCTGTGATCACCCTCTCACCCACACAGACACCTGCACATGCCCTGCTGCTCACCTGCACACAGGACCCAGGCCTCTTCCCTGCTGGAGCAGGAATGCTGGTCCCAGGGTGCTGAAGGGCACTGCCACAGGGACCTGTCATGCCTGGGCCTGCACTGAATGGAAGCCAGCCAGAAAGCTCCAGGAGAAGGCCAGCTCCCTGCCCTGGCCAGCAGCTGCCCTTGGGAACCACAGCCCAGCTGATCACACAGGATCCCCAAGGAGGCAGCATTCAGAGCAGGGCAGACTCCACCCCAAGTCCCATTGTAGAAAACTTCCAGCCGCCCTGTGCATGGCTGACCATAATTCCGCAGCCTGAGATCCGTGAACTCTGCAGACAGAGAGGCCAGTTAGCGAGGAAGAGATGGGAGGATAGGGACATAAAAGACACTGGACCTTGCGCCAACCTGAGCAGAAGACCCCGGCATCCTCCTTGTGCCCACAGTCGTGCTGGCCCCAGCCCCGCGATGGGCACTGCCACAGTGCAGACTCATTGCCCAGGCAGCCAAGCTCATCCATCCAGATAGGTCTCGATCCCATCCCAAAGTGTGCGGCCACTGTAGTGCTGAGGGCGCGGCCACAGCCCAGCTGCTCACAGACCACATGGGCATCCTGCAGGTCCCAGGCGTCATCACACACCGTGCCCCATGCACCTCTGTACAGCACCTCCACACGCCCTGCACAGCGGCCAGGACCTCCAGCCAGCCGCACCCGAAGGCTCCCTGAGAAGAGGCTGAGTAAGGACCTGCCAGGTCTGTGAAGGTCAGGGCAGAGGAAGCCTGGGGGACCCACACTCACCAGAGCACACAACACCTGCAGCCTGTAAGGTCCCCACAGGCACCAAGGGGGACACTGAAATATTGCACTGGGTCAGGCGGGTCTCCGAGCCCACACAGGATGTCTGGCTCAGCCCCACTGGAGCTGCACCCTGAGGAGGGGCTGAGGAGTCATAGGCTTTCAGGGCCTCTCCACACCCAAGCTGCCTACACACAACACTGGCAGCACGCAGGTCCCAGGCGTCATCCAGGATGCGGCCCCACACTCCGTTCAGGGAGACCTCCACATGGCCATCGCAGCGACTCTGTCCATCCCTCAGCCTAAGGGCTCTGGAGAGACCTGGGAGAGACAAGGAGAAGCCACTGTGGAGCATCAGAAAACTCCCCGACTCCCGGTAGGAGCTCTCAGGCTCCTACTGACTGGCAGGCAGTTCGCTGTCCACCTATCAGTGTCCTCCCATCTCTTCTCTCTGAACCCTCTTTATTTTATGTATATCTTTTCTGTTTCTTCTCTTTCTGCTCCCCAAATAACCCTGAACTGTAGACCTATCTGTTTGGCCTGCATCATGTTAACCCAACTACTCATTCATTCACATATGATCCAATGGTTTTCTACCTGAATAACCTCCTCTTCTGCCATGGCTCAGCTCTCAGTGCCTGAGTCCATCTAGCCACCCAGCGCTCATACACTGCATGCTTTTCACCCACCTGAGCAAAAGGCAGAAGCAGAATTTCCCTCGGCACAGGGCTTCACACCCAGGGTGCTGGATGGGCAGCTCAACAAATGGAGCTCAGTCCCCACACAGTGAAACACATCTGTCCAGATGGGAGCATCCCCAATCCCAAAATGGCCTCCTCGTGGTGTGGCCACTGCATTTCCACAGTTGAGCTGATGGCACAGCACGGTGGCATCTGCTAAGTCCCAGTGGGTGGCACAGAGGGGTGCCCAGGCCCCCTGCACCTGAAGCTCCACACGGCCCTCACAGGGGCTGCTGCCATTGACCAGGCGGAACTCTAGGGGAGAAGCAGAGTCAGTGAGGACCAAGAAAGCCTAACCCAGAGACACTCATGTCAGACTTCTTCTACATAGTACACACCCAGTTTCTACAGATACAAACGGAAGACAGGAGAGCAGCTTTGCAACATGGTATCATTGAAAATTAGGTTAGGGAATTACAATGTCCATGCCTGAGCTAATGCAGTGATTAAGCTATCAAAATGAAATTGGCCATAATACAGATGCGGGAGAACTCTGGTGGGATCCTAGTACTGGCCACACACAAAGTGAGACAAGGCAGAAGAATCTCCATAAAAGAGTTTAGATAAGCTACTTGAACAAGCCATCAAAAAGCAAGAGAAAATCTTGAGATGTCAGATAATCTGATCTCTGTAGTTCCTGCAGTACAATGTTCTAAATATCTAGGTAAGCTCAAATTGACAAGGCAGGTAAAACACACTAAGGCATGGCTTAATAGAAGCTATTCGTGAGGAATCCCAGGCATTAGAATTTTTGGACAAAACATTGAATCAGCTATGTTAATTCTTCTACAAGAGCTACAACAAATCATGGGCAAAGGTTCAGAAAATGCCAGCATAGCAAAAACTTCATCAACTAGAATTCCAATAAGCAGACAACTATAAGAAAGAGACAAATGGAATTTCTGTCTGAAATGTACAATATCTAAAATAAAAACCATTATAGAGGGATATGAGAGAATACTAGAGGGAATGTGATTAGACATAAGGAAGAATGAATGAATGTAAAGATAGAAAGAGTGAGATGATTCAAAATGAAGAGTGCCTAAAATAATTGTGGTACATCCACAACCTAACCAGCATTTCCATCAAAGGAGTCCGAGAAGAGAAAGAAGGCTAGAAACAACATTTGAATAATCCATGACACAAACATCCCAAATTTGATTAAATACCTGACTCTACACATCCAAGAAGTTTGTGAGTTTGAGGCCAGCCTAAGCTCCATAATAAGTTCAAAGCCAGCCTGAACTACATAATGAGATGCTGTTCCCCACAACCAAAAAAAATGACGGAAGATCTTTTCCCTAATGTCAGAAAACACATTATACTGGAAATAACAGCTAAGAAACAGAAGAAGAAAAAAAATAAGCATCTGAATTAGAACAGATGAAGTGAAACTATGTTTAGAGATAACGTGATGTTTTTTATTTCATGAAAAAAAAACAGAATTTTATGAAAAGAAATAATAATAATAATACACTGTGTATCATGACATTACATGATCTTACATTTAGAAAATACTGAAAAATCAACCAATAAATTCTACAATTACAATAAAAATATATAGATAAAAGTTATATGATGATAATAATATATTTCTACACATTAGTGTTTAACAATCCAAAAATGAAATTAAGAAAATAACTTCATTTATAATAGCAACAAAAATATTAAAAATAGTTCAGATAGTGCTACAAGTTAAGGTTTTATTTTTCAAATTTTAGATTATGAATTTATTATGTATATTATTTTCTAAAATCTAAAACTAAAGCCCATTGATTTTTATGCTTATTTTATATCACTATTAAATTTTTATTATCTACTTGAAATAATCTAGTTATAAGTTAAATACAAATGATTAAATACTTATACAATAAAAACTATAAAATATTACTAAAGAAAATTAAACACATCAGAGCATGACACCTGCAAAACAATGCAACTTTAAACAAAGTGATACCAAAGACAAAAAATATAAACTACTTGAAAAATAAGTCAGGGGAATAACTTCAAGAGAACTTGTGATACAGGCAGATAATTCAACAAAATTAGGAAAGTAATTCATGATATGAATGAGAAATTTAGCTAAAGCATAGAGACCATGGAAAAGAAGCAATCAAAATCTTGGAGCTGAACAACTCAATAAATGAAATTTTAAAATACTTTTGAGACTCTCAACTATAGAAATGGTCACATAGAAGTAAAAATTTTAAAATTTAAAGACATCCATTGAAAAAATATGAATATAGAAATAAGAAAACAATTTAATGAATGTTATCAGAGTACACTTAATGAATCCTCAGGAGACAACATCAAACAAGTAAACTTTCACATGGTGGATGCTTAGGAAGAAGAAAAGTAGGAAAATACAAGGAAACATAACCAATTACATAATGGCTGGAAATTTTCCTGACTTGGGAAAGTTACGATCAAGGTCAGAGAAATTGAAGGTCCTAAAGAGTTGGATCCAAAAGAAACTTCTTTGAGCCAAATTAGATGAAAAGTGCCAAAAGTAGAAGAAAACATACATTACCAAAAACAGCAAAGGGAAATTGTCAAGTCATACACGAGGAGGCCAGCATTAGAATGATAGAGGCTTATAATCAGAAACCTTAGAGAAAAGACAAAAATGGGACAACATAGTCAACATCTTGAAGAAAAAATGCCACTCAAGAGTACTATACCCAGCAAAGCTAACTTCAGAAACATAGAAAAAACTTTCCAAGAAAAACAAAAACAGAAAACTTCATCAACACCACAAAACATCTGCAACAAATGCTTAAGGGAGACTTATACTACAAGGAAAAATGATATGTAGCATCATGAAAAACACAAAACTCAAGAGTGCAGCAGATTTCATAGAACATAAAGAGAAGAGAATCAAGGCCTATCACATAAATGCATATGCAGGAACCTCAATGACCGAGTTTACCCAAGCAGCAGTTCACCGTACTGATGGATAAATATCTAGAAGCTAACAGCCACCACTTTGAGAACCTCTTGTAACTGCAGAGGCCAAAGGTACCTTGTATTAATCTCAGGATGTCTTGATAAATTTAGTATTAAAATGTTTTGAAAATTTTGAATTTTCCTGAAGTTTATATATTTTTGGCAGACTGTAATATACATATATATTTACATATTTGTATTATATTTATATATGTGTATGTGTTTGTCATAAGAAGATTCAATTCCTTCCATGTGCACGAAAATGGATAGAACTAGAAGATATCATGTTAAGTAAAATATCCAGACAGAAAGAAAAGTAATATAGGTTTTCTTTTTCATGTCAAAACTAAAAATATGAAAAAAATCAGTGACTTGAATATAGAAAGAGACTGGAAAGGAAGGTAAGTGAATGTACAATGAGAGGAGAGAGGAAATGGTAGAAGTAGGAAGATTAGACATGATCTGTGCCTTCTATATGCATCTGTAGAAATATCACAGTGAACCTGATAAATTTATACCATTAATATGGGTTAATAGTTGTAGTTTTTTTAAATGCCCTGATCAGTCTTTGAGAAAGAAACAATATCTTCAACAAACAGTGTTGGTGAAACTAGGTATCCACTTCCATGTGGACAGCTGCCAAATCCCATATAACATGTGTAAAATTAACTCAAAGTATGTCAGAACCTTAGGCACACATTCAAGGGACAAAAGTCTTAGCACAAAGCATAGAAATAAAGCCTCATTCCTGTGGACTTGGCAATTATATTTATAGATGCAACACCAAGATGGAAAGGACTAAAAGAAAAGAAAAAGACTGTTGTGCTTAATCAAAATTAACCCCTTACATGTACAAAAGACATTTTCTTTTTTGGTTTTTTGTTTGTTTCTTTGTTTGAGACAGGGTCTCACTATGTAGTTGAGACTGACTCACTGTGTAGCCCAGGCTGGTCTCAAACTCACAGCAATCCTCCTGCCTCAGCTTCCTGAATGCTGGGATTACAGGGGTGTGCCACCACGCTCAGCCAAAAGATATTTTCAAAAATTAAAACAAAAAACATAATGGGAGAAAATATTTGCAATTCAAGTGTTAATAAGGGGCTGCTACATATAATACATTAAAAATTTACAAGACTGAAACAAAGACACAAGCTCAATATCTGACGTGGAAGTACACTGAATATTCCATTCTGTGAAGATAGAGTAAATATATGCAAAACAGAAATAGGAGGGAATGTCAGGCTGAGTTCTCTCTCTCTAACTACTGTCCAAAAATCATCCCAGCCCAGTGCCCTCAGAGTCTCCTGCCTCTGAACAACACCACAGCCCAGAACCCACTGGAGCCAGTGACTTGACTCACTCTCTCCAGAGCACCTGAGCCCAGCATCCTGGTCATGCATGCACTGACTCCCAGGCTCCCGCAGGCAGTGGAACAGCAGAGACTCATTGCCCACACAGCGGAAGGCTTCCATCCATACAGGCCCTGAGCCCTGGCCAAAGTGGGCAGTCCCAAGGGTAGACACAGCCACTCCACACTGCAGCTCCCGGCACACCACGTGGGCTGTGGATAGGTCCAAGTCAACATCACAGACTGTGCCCCATGTCAGACCTCGCTTAACTTCCAGGCGCCCAGCACAGGGGTCCTCACTGCCAACAAGCCGAGCCTCCACATGTCCTAGGGGCAGAGCATCAGAGGGCAGGTCAAGCTCTACACAGGACATAAGGATGGAAAGACCCCAAAACCCACCATCCAGTCCCACATGGAGGAATGAAGCATGAGGTCCCAGGACCACCTAGCTTGGCCCAGATCCAGGAGGCCAGCCCACAAGAAAAATCTGGGGTCTTCAAAACAACGAACCTGACAGTGGTCTCTCCATCATCCTTGCAACCTGGCCCCCCAAAGTGATTGCCACAAAGAACATTCACCCTCCAGAGAGACTTGGGCCCTTGGGACACCACAGACAGAGGTAGATACCACTGTCCAGACAGGAGGCCCTCACCACCTGGGCACAGGCTAGACAGGAACCCCCAAGGAGAACAGACAGCACTACCATAGAATTCCCAGAGAGGAGAACTCCAGGGCCTCCTTCACTACTGCTTGTTGGCAAAGCACAATCATGTCGGCCACCACACAGGTGGCTTAATACTGCCTGTGTGCTATGAGCAGATGTGTTGATCTTTGTTCATATACAAACAAGGGTCCATGGTCTGGGTGGGGTGAACCTACCTTTGCACACAACCTCGGTGTAGGCCAGAAGATCACACTGCCTTAAGAAGTTCAAGTTGAGCTTGCAATAGAAAATGCTGGTCTCAGTCCCCTGACAAGTCACCATCCTCTGCTCCTGGCCACCAGGGTGTCCTCCATGGTGGGCTCTGGACCACTGCAAGGCGGTGCCACACTCCAGCTCTCTGCACAAGACACCTGCCTCCTCCTTTTGCAAGTCACATCTCAGAATATCACTGACTGGGTTGAATACTTCGGGGGTCCCAGCACAAGGGCTACCTCCTCCGCCCAGCCTAACTTGTCTCAAGGAACTACCTGATGGCAAAAAAGACAAAGAGGGTCTTGCGAATATTTGCCCAAGGCACACACACAAGGCTGGATTTAGCCTAAAAGTAGGGCATCTTCAGCATCCCTGCTTACTTCTTGACCCTGTTCTGGTTCCCAGGAGATCTGGGGTATCAGAGTCCCTCCTCTCAGGACTGTGTGTCATGCTCACGGTGTGCACAGCACAGAGGGTAGCTTTCAGGGAGCCTGGATTGAGGCATCCCAAAGCATTTCCTGAGCTGACCCTGAGGACAACAAAGGAACCACATTTTGGCAACTGATTCAGAAACTAAGGGATCATTGTTAAACATCACTGAGAATGGGGTCCAAGAAAGTAAGAACTGAGATCCAGGACAGAAAAGGAAAATTACTGACTCATTCTGCAGCAAGAGGGAACCCCAGAACCCCAAGAATCCCATGGAAACTAGACATTCATATCTGGGCCAAACCCTTCCTCATCTCCTGTGACTTTGAGTCAGTGCCTCTGGAGCCCAATCATTAGAAAGGGGGTCCCAGGAAAAGGGGGAGGCGGTTCAGGAGTCATTGTCCAACCTACCTGAGCATATGACAGCAACCACACACTGGCATTTGCAGCTATTGATGGGCCCCCAGTCACCCAGAGTACACTGCCAGAGAGAGGCCTCCTCACCCTGACACTGAACACCATAAAGCCAGGGTGGCTTCATGTCTTGGGGCCTCAAAACTCGTTGAGATGTATATAGTGCTCTTCTGCAGTTGAGCTGTCTGCAGATCACCAAGGCCTCTTGCATGCCCCAGTGGTCCCCACACACCAGGCCCTGCTCCCCATGGTGCTGCACATGCAGGAAGCCTTCACATTGACTTTCTCCATGCAGGAGACTCACGGACTCCTCCCCAGCATGGCCTTAAAGGATAAGAACACAAAGGATAAGGTGTATGGAGAAGACACTGGGATTTGTTTCCTAATGATATAGGATCAGAAAGCTTGCCCTTCTTTTTAATGTCAAGTCCCAACCTTACTAGAATTCCCCTACCATTAATACTTTGTATTTCCTATCATTAAAAATAGTTGCTTTAATAAAATGAAAATTTTAAAAACTATGCACAAATTAGACCCAGGTGTGGCCATTGATGTACAATCCATGATCCACCACCCACAAAAAAAGCCATACTGCACAGCCGTGTCCCTGATCACCATGACCCTGTTGATGCAGTACACATTTACCTGGAAAGAGGGTCCAACAGGCCAGGAACAGGCACCACAACACCACACAGGATAGCGCCATGCCTTCCGTGCTTTATAGTTGTAGCTTGCAAGTCTAACAGTCTCAGAGAAGGGTATGCTCCGCCTCTACATGGAAGGTGGACTCTAACAAAGCAGTGACGTTGTTCTGAGACGGTGCCCCATAGCAATCTTATCACCTCCCCCCACAGCAGAGTCCTCACCTGTCATACTGAGCAGGCACTCACCACCTCCCTTCTGAGCTGAGCCAGTGCCAACAGCAAGTGCCGAGGCCAGGCTGGGCTTCCGGCAGCTGGGGCCTGATATAAACCCAGCTGTGAGAAGCAGCAGGAGCCACTTCCCCACAAAAAGCCCTGATGTCTATGGTTCCAATACCAGGGCTGGGTAGGAGAGTGGCAGCCTTTCTCAGCCTCAACGTAGCGTATGCCTGCAGATCTGGGGTCTCTCCAGGATCTGTATGTTCTGAATCTGTGTGCCAGACAGACTTGGCAATTTGATTAAAATATTTACAATATGTGCCACGTCACCAGCAATCACAAAAGATGCACACTGTGGGGCTATGAACACTTGGGAAGCAGCTAAAAGTCCAAGTCAATTACATGAGGTTTTTTTAAACAACTAAGACACATCTGTACAATGGGATATTACTCACCTATTAAATTATAACACAAAAGTTTTATATGTTGGGAAATTACTATAAAAATTTGATTGCCAAAGGGAAATGACATAGGAAAACTTTCAATTTACACTGTGATAAATTTTGTAATTGGGCACATCTCTATGCTATTATGCAATTATGTTATTATTCTCAATTAATAAATCCCTATTATTTAAAATGTTCATTTCTGGGGCTACTGCTTCTGGCCTGCCACTCCATGAATTGTTTTTCCTCTGTCATGCCCTTCTACCACCCTGTCTTAGATCCAGACAGTTGTAGACTAAAACTTCTAAAACCTGTGAGGAAAAATTAAACTCTCATTTAACTTGTGGATAGGAACTTGTGTTTTGTCCCAGCCATGAGAAAGTAACCAGGGCACTATCTCCCTAAGACCTTGCTGTTTTATTCCAGTACATATACCAGAGCAATGTTTCCAGCTTATTTATACAGTACCCTAAAGGTCCACAAATTAATAAGTGACAGCAAGCTTCCTCCTTTTTTTTCTTTCATTCTGTTACTTGGGATTGAACCCAGTGCCTGGTTCATGGTGCTAGAGGGTCTACCACTGAGCACTATCCTCAACTCTTATCTTTTTAATTTTTGTTATTATTTTGAGGGGATTTAAAAATGGAACCAAGGGACTTAGCTCTGAGCTTCATGCCTAGCTCCCTTTTTTTTTTTCCAGAAAACTTGTCCAGGCCAGCTTCGGCTTGTGATGCTCCTGTCCAGCCTTCCCAGTAGCAGAGATTGAAGGTGAGCACCACCATCCCTGTCTAAAGCAAATGCCTATTAAATTGGTTTAAAGAAAGGTATTATATGAACTTCTTGTTGAAATTTAAAATAATTTACAAATATGACTTTTATGCTCTAGAATATAGGTTAAAATGGAAATGGATTTTATAGATGTAATGCTTTTAAATAAGCTAAAATTTTTCACATTTGTCATTCACACCACAATCTGCTGGTTTGTCTAAATAGAATTTAATGGCCAGAATTCTATCCACAAGTGCGGTGGCCCACGCCTGTATTCCAGCTATTCAGGAGGCTGAGGAGGGAGCATCACAACTTTGAGGCTATCCTTGGTAATTTATAGAAACTCTGTCAATAAGTAAACAACCAACAATAATAATAGCTGCTCTGGGGATGTGATTTAGTGCACAGCAATTAGTCAAGATGGGAAGGCCCTTGAGTTAGAGGTAGATATGCATCATTCCACAGTATGTGTTTAGGGACCAATCTCAAATCTGGAGCTCCCAAACTTCCCTCTATAAGACACATTCCCTATTAAATCAATCACCACTTTTTCTCTTGTGAGTCTGCACAGATGGCTGAGGTAATGCAGTCTAACCATTCAATGACATCACCACAGAATCAGAAGCAGCCTTCCGACCTCTTCCTGAACATGTTTTCTCCTGCCCACAACTATCATCTTAACTGTCCCTATCTTGCTTCACCCCACAGTTACTTTATAGACTGAGAGATTGCTTTCTGAGCCTCTGAATGTTGGTGCAAGAAGAAAAGAGTAGCCTTAATCCTTGGAGTAGGACAGTTCTCCAGTTTCTTCAGCCTTCTACACAGACTTGCATGTGTGATTCACCAGCAAGATTTCAGGCCTTCAACTTTGGACTGGTGTTACATATATCCTTGACACCTCTTGCTCTACAGATTCCTCATTCTTGAACTGACGAGCTACTGGATTCTTTGGTTCTTCCTCACTCAGGTGGCTATTGTGGATTTCCCCATCTTTGATCCTCTATCCACCCAGAGTCCTCTCTGTGTTTCCAAGAGCAACAGAAACTCAGTAAATCTCCAGTATTGGTGTATTTGAGGACATGGTTGTGAACTTCACATGGGAGGAGTGAGAGGGCCTACATGATGCTCAGAGGACCCAATACAGAGCCATGATGCTGGTGACCCACTGCAGCTTTGTGCTCTTGAGTCATTTCATCAACCAATCTGAGGTGATCTTTAAGCTGGAGAGAGAAGCAGAGCTATGGATGGTAGAAGAACCCCCACAAGAGGGTTTCACAAATGTCCAGAAAGTCGATGACATAATTCAGCCCAGCCAGGAAAATCAATGAAGATATGTGTGGCAAGTTGCACTTGCTGCTGCCAACACTTCAAATGAGAAAAATGTTGAATTAAGGCTTGAGCTCATGACTCCAACTAGTCATGATAAAAAAAAAATCTACACCTAGCCATATAATAATCAAGATCCCAGAAACCCAACAGAAGAACAAAATACCAAGCAATTAAAGAAAAGAAACAAATCACATGGCCCATCAGAAACACAGCAGACTTTTCAACACAAACTCTCAACTCAAGAAGAGCTTGGAGTGAGGTATTTCAATTCCTAAAAGAAAAGAATTTCCAGCCTAGACTGATGTATCCTGTAAAACTATTTTCAAAATTGATGGGGAAATAAGATAGTTCTACACACACACACACACACACACACACACACACACACACACAAAATACTGAAATTTCATGAACACCAAACTGGCATTCTGCACACTTCTAAACATCATCCTAGAAAAAAAATGAAGGCCACAACTCCATAAGGGCCAACAGAGAAAATATACCAGGCAAGGCAAGAAATTAAAGGGGGAGAGGAGGAAAAAAATAAAAGGACCAACAACAGGGAAATAATGTGAAAATGAAAAGTCAATATATAACAGTTATAACCACCAATATTAATGACCTCAATTCACCAAACAAAAGAAATACACTGGCAGAATGGATTAAGAAGCAAAATGCAACAATATTCTATACACAAGAAATGCACTAAATCCACAAGGAAATTCACACAGTGAGAACAAAAGGATGGAAAACACTTTTCATGTGACAGGAGCCTGGAAAAAAGCAGGGTAGCTATATTACTTGCAGACAGAGTAGATTTCAAATCAAAACTAATTAAGAGAGACAAAAAATGCCACTACATCCTTGTAAAAGGAACAATACAACAGGAAGACATGACAATTATAAATATATATGCACCAAATACTAATGCCCCCAAATATACAAAACCTGTATTAATGGATATGAAAAACCAAATAAGCACTAATACAATTGTAGTGAGGGGCTTCAATAACCCACTGACACAAATAAACAGATCATCTAGACAAAAACATCAACAACGAAATAAAAGAATTGAATCAAGTCTTAGAACAAATGGACTTAGTACATATCTACAAAGTGTTCCACACCATAAATCAGAACATATATTCTTTTTGGTTTCACATGGTTCTTTCTTCAAAATAGACCATGTGCTAGCTCATACAACATGTTTAAGTAAATGCAAAGGAATTAAAGTTATATCCTGTGATTATCAAACCATAGTGCAATTAAATGGGAGATCAATAGCCTAAGAAACTGCAAGAACTTCACAAACACATGGAAATTAAATAACACCCTGCTGAACAACCAGTGGGTCACAGAGGAAATTAAAGAAGAAAGACAATTTCTAGAATTAAATGGTAATGTCAACAAAATATACAGGAATCTGTGGGGCACAGTGAAACCAGTCCTACGAGGGAAATTCATGGCAGTACTTGCCCATACTAGGAAAAGACAGGGAGCTCAAATAAGCAAACTAATCCTTAAACTTAAGCCCCTACAAAAAGAAGAGCAAGAAAAACGAAAAGCTTGCACAAGGGTGGAAATTATAAAGATCAGAGCAGAAATTAATGCTATGGAAACTAAGAGAATGATACAAAAAATCAAAGAATCAAAGAGTTGGTTTTTTGAGACAATAAATAAAACTGATGATCCCTTCACCAACCTTATTTAAAAAATAAAAAAAAACAGGCTCAAATTCATGCAATTAGGAATGAAAAAGGAGAAGTCACAACAAATCCACCAGAAATCCAGAGGAACATCAATACCTATTTCAAAATCCCATACTCTAATAAAATAGAAAATACAGAAAAAATGGACAGATTACTAGACAATATGAACTTCCAAAATTGAATGAAGAAGATACAAAAAGTCTAAACACTGCAATCACAGTGAAATTAAAAATTAAAACATTACCAACAAAGAAAAGTCCAGATCCTGATGGTTTCACTGCTGAATTCTACAGGATATTTAGAGAAGAACTATCTCCACTGCTCTTCAAATTCTTCCATGAAAATGAAAAGGAAGCAATATTCTGAATTCACTCCTGGAAGTATTGCTTTGATTCCAAAACCAGGGAAAGACTCAACCAAAAAAGAGAACTATAGGCCAATCTCCCTAATGAACATAGATACAAAAATCAAAATAAGATACTGGCAAACAGAATACAGAAGATCATCAAGAAGATCATACACACTGACCAAGTCAGATATATTCCAGGGATGCAAGGATGGTTCAACATATGTAAATCAACAAATGTAATACAC